CATTCTCAAGAGGCAAGGTGGGCAGTGCTGGGTTTCAAGTGCAAGCTCTGCCTCTGATCTCCCACTTCTGCCTTAGTCCTTGGGAAGGTCCCATTCAATGCATCTTGATCATTAGATATTAAAACATTAGCAGGCTTGAATAGAGAGGCAAAACTGTGTTTAGATTTCCTATTTCTAATAGCTGTTAAAGAAATGCAAAACATCTTAAATGGAGGAAAAATTAAAACAAGGGATGTTGGGAAGGGATGGGCACCAAGGAGGACTCATCAAAGTCCTAGTAGCTGTGGGGTTAGGAGACTATATAGAGTATAACACACATGGTGTACATTTTTGGGAAGATAAGTAGGTACACAGGGAGGGGGAAAATACAAGGGAAAGCCCAGATGATAGACGCTTTCCTTGGCATTCTGGATAATCACATGGACAACAAAAATTAAAGGAGGAAAATGAAGGTGAGTCATTGCTTCAAATTCCATACAACAAGGACTGGAAAGTTGCATGCTGTGTGTGCTCCAAGGGCCCAGTGTAGCAAGATGTGGACTGTCTCTGCTCCTCTCTGTCCTCTGAGCACTCCAGCCCAGTTCCATCCTTTATAATCAGATGTTTGGACCCCAGCATAACCATCGCTCCTGTCCTTTCTCTTGGGTTCCAGCTCATCCTTTGTTCTTGCTGGTCAGATTTTCACTGGATGGAGTTGGGGGGGTTGCTTCTAGTTTAGTGAGTTTTACTGCTGTGTAAACAAAACTCTCAAATCAACTCCCCCTACCACCTAACTTTTCTAAATCCAGAGCCATTTTTCTAAACAATTTTTTGAATAGGTAGTATGTTTTCATGGTTTTTTTTTTTTAAGTTATTCTTGAAAAAAATCTCCTTTCTTTCCTTTTCTCATGTAGCCAGTTCCGACCACTTGCAAGAAACGTCAAGTTTCTTCACACACATATAAATAGAAATATAAATTTCCTTGTTTTCCCTTTTAATTTATAAAGTAGTATAATTTTCAGTTTTCTGAATCATGTGTTTTGGTCATTTATTAGTATGTAATGTGCATGTGTGCTAAGTCACTTGTCATGTCCAACTCTTTGCAAGCCTATTGACTGTAGCCTGTCAGGCTCCTCTGTCCACAGGATTCTCCAGGCAAGAATACTGGAATGAGTTGCCATGCCCTCCTCCAGGGGATCTTCCTGACCCAGGGATCCAACCTGTGTCTGTATGTAACAAATATCTCTAAACTGAGTGGCTTAAAACAATGTGTTGCTAACTCTCATAGTTTGGTGGGTTGATTGGTCTCAGCTGTGTAGGTAGCTCATGCTTTGGCTTCTCACTGTGGTTACAGTCGGATGTGGGTTAGTACAGGGGTCACAGGAAGGCTTGACTGGGTTGGAGGTTCCAAGCAGCTTCCAAACGACTGGCAGTTATGCTGGTTGTTGGATGGGAGCTCGGTTGCCAGAACATCTCTGTACAGACTGGGCTTCTCACAAGAAGCTGGTATCTGAGTGGGAGCATCCCAAGAGAGCAGGAAGTGAAAGTTACCAGGTCAATGAAGGGCAACTTACAGAACTGACACTGGTAGGTCTGCTGGATTCTGTTGGCCAAAGTGGTCTCAGGGCTAGCCCAGGTTCAAGGAGATGGAGAAAGAAACCCTGTTCTCTTCATGGGAGAGTAGCAAGCTTGTATTGCAGAAGATCCTGAAGTTAGGAGATACTGTCTTGGTCATCTTGGTAAAATACAATCTGTATCACCATCTTAAGTACCTTTCTACTTCTTCTAACACATGTCCAAGGCCTGAGGAGCTTTCTTTATAATGTCTAACATCTGACCTCTCCCTGTTTCCACCGACCCCACTCATACAAATCTGCATCCTTTTGTAGTTAGGTAAATGCCAGTGTTACCTTCCTGGTATCCCACTTTCCTTCATTGCAAATAGCCAATGAAACTTTCCTAACATTAGTGTTTACACAGACTTTAGCTTTAATGATGTCATTCTCCCAAGTAAAAATCAGATCTGATATCCCCAGTGGTTCAGTTTGACCTGTGCATAGTTAGCATATATAGGATTTGCTTTTTAAAAAAACTTTCAACATTGCAAAATCAAGAGATTCAGATTGAGCAAAATTGAGAAAAATTGCATTCTTTGACTAGTATGTTCTAGATACTGAACAAAAGGGAAAAGACAATCAGGATCTTGTGGGATTTAATGGACAATAGGAAAATTGGATAAATAACATAGATAGACTGATGGATGGCAACATTGGAGGGCTAGAAAGCAGCCACGGCAGGGGTCAGATGGGAAGAGCTACAATTTCAAATCACATGGTCATGGATGACCTCACTGAAATGGAGACATTTCAGTTAAAAATCTTAAGGCGTAGAGGAAGGCTAACATGGAATTCTAGAACTTTGTTTTCCAGTAGATTAGCCCACAACCATATGTGGCTATCTTAATTTGTATTAATTAAAATTAAATAAAATTTAAAATTCAGATTTTCAGGGGCAGTAGCCACATTTCCAGTGTTCAAAAGTCGCCCATGACTCATGGCTGCAAAGCAGATATAGAACAATTCCACCATTACAGAGACTTGTAGTGGACAGCATTTCAGAGGTGGGGTATTCCATGCAGAAATGACAGCAAGTGCATAGGTCCTGGGGTGGGTGGGACATTGTTTGAAATGAGCTAGACAGTGGCACTGCTCTTCTGCTCACACAGTCTTGCTATGCCCTACTGTCTGTCTTATACCGTAGCCATATGGCTGTTGTCATTTAGCACCTACCCCAAGCCAACTTTCCAAAGGCCTTTGTTGATATTAAGTTTTAGAAATTTGGTCAATGCATAGAATCTATGGGGTCAAGTCCCAAACTCCCTGGTCTTGCATTGAGAAACTCTGTGAAAGAGAATGAAGTCCAATGATCTGGACCAGGAGTCAGAACATGTGTGTTCTGTTTTAGAGCAGAGTAGGTTCATGGTGTGATTCAAAGGGTGTTCTCAGGGGTGACATGGCACAAGCATCCACTCACTAGAGAGATTGTTGGCCACAAGTGTCCTGGAGTGCCTTTACTGGACCAGGACCAAAAGTCTAGTGGACTTTTAGTTGGTATTTCAGGAAGAAATCTGGAGTATGGAGTATGACATTGATTTTTTTTTTTTTTTAGTTGCTAAGTCATGTCCAACTCTTGTGACCCCATGGACTGTAGCCTGCCAGGCTCCTTTGTCCATGGGATTCTCCAGGCAAGAATACTGTGGGTTGCCATTTCCTTCTCCAGGGGATCTTCCTGACTCAGGAACTGAACCCGTGTCTCCTGCATTGCAGGCAGATTCTTTACTGACTGAGCTACGAGGGAAGCCCATGACATTGGGGCTCAAGGTAACGCCTAAGTTTCCAGTGGAAGCAGAAGTATTTGAACATTATATAAGCCAGTTAATTCTTATATGGTCCATACAAGTGGAATTTCAGCCTTGAATAATTATATGTAATAGGTATTTGGAAACTGTAATGTCTGATAGAGTTTTATTGCAGGGGCCTTTCCAGTAAACACACACAGCTTTCAGTGACAGGATGTAAGGTGTTCAATATGTCACCAGCATCTACTCTGATATTTTCTCCTCCTACTCCATTGCATGATCCCCCTCTCCCACCAATAGGACACATTCAGGGACCAACAGGTTCTGTGTCCTACTGCCCTGGCATTTTTCTCATGTTTTTCCTTCTTACTTGGAGGACGCACATCTTTTCTGCCTGATTGAATCTTCGGCACTCAGCTCGAGGGCACAGCTCAAACTCCCTTCACTGACTTTTCTTTTCCTGTCTCAGGCCAGAAGCATTTCCCTGCTCCTGTTAGCTGCAGTGCTCATTATTCACACTCACTTTGACTGATGCTGAAGCTGAAACTCCAATACTTCGGCCACCTGATGCGAATAACTGACTCATTTGAAAAGACCCTGATGCTGGAAAAGATTGAAGGCAAGAGGAGAAGGGACGACAGAGGATGAGATGGTTGGATGCCATCACCGACTTAATGGACATGAGTTTGAGTAAACTCTGGGAGTTGGTGATGGACAGGGAGGCCTGGTGTGCTGCAGTCCATGGGGTCGCCCAGAGTCAGACACGACTGAGCGACTGAACTGAACTTGCAATTATCAAGACTACAACACAATATCTTTGCTTTTTTATATGTGTATCTAGTCCAGGGTCAAGTCTTAGGCAAAGATAGGGGCCCTGCGTCCTACTGATAAGGAGTTAAAGCAGTGGCTACCCCTTGCTGAAGACAGATGGATCTGGGAGGTGAAGGTTAACAGCCATCAGGACGTTAAGGTCCTGTTGGAAAAGTCTCACTGCCAGGGCTCCACTATTCCTGCCTCCTGGAATGGTTTGAATAATCATTCACACCATGGTAGGCCTTTATGCTTTACCAAGTACATTCATCACATGCATCAGGCCTTCCAGGAAGGTCAGGTTCCAACTTGTTCACAGAGAATCACCTCCAGGTCACCAGACTTGCATTTATTTTGCCCAGCACCTATCATAATGAACAAAAGTTTTTCACTTTAATGATGAATGTGCCAAAGAGAGGACAGAGTGGGAGCAATTCTAGTTCAGTGATGTTTGACTTGTAGCAAAATACAGAGCCTATTTTGAAGCTCTTCAGCGAAAACCATTTCTGGGAATAGTGATTAGGATTTGGGGCCAGGCTGCCAAGGGAAGAAAAAAAAAAAAAACCACCTTGTGAGCCCTGGCAGGGTGGTAGTGTTCCCCACTTCGCTCACTTGGTCGAAGTTCAGGTCGAGGCCAGCATACAGGAAAAGGGTGTGAAGCGGAACTTTTCAGCCTAAAGGGAGTAGGGGGATGGGCCGGGCAGTGGAGTGGGTTTGGTGATGGATTCTGGAAAGCCCGCACCTGTAAGAGAAGGTGCTCAAGGTTCAGAGAGTGGCTGCGGGGGCCTGGTCCGCAGGCTGAGGTGTGCCGCGGCGAGGGTGGGGCGACCGCGGCCGCGGCTGCGGGACCTGCCGGCGCTGCTGCGGAGCGGGCTCACCCTGCGGAGGAAGCGCAGCGCCGCTGGGGGCCGGGTGAGTGGCCGGGTCTTGCGCGGCCGGAATGGGCGTGGGAGGCGCACACGTGGAGTCCGCGCCCACCCTCCGGGGCGGCCAAGGAGGGCATCTGGAAGTTGGGGAGGTGCCGGGAGTGGGGCCCTTGTGCCGGACTAGGCAGAAGAGGGGCCGTGGAAGGAGGGGTCGTGGGGTGCCCCCCGCGGAGCGGCGGTTTCCCGCTCCCCTAGGTGCACCTGACTTAGCCCAAGCGCACCTGATTCTGGCAGCGGGACCGTGAGCATCGCCGGAAGAAGGGCCGTTTGCCTTTCTCCTGAGGGGGAGCTGCAGGAGTCCGGTGCCCAACGGCCGGCCCTGTCCCGACGGCGAGCCCAAGGCCCCACGCGCGGGACCTCAGTTTTCAGGAGGCATGAGACGTGTGCACTGCTGTCGGGCGCCTCGCTGCAAGCTTTGGGCACCGACACTGGCTCTGGCGGCCCCCACGGCCGAGGGACAGACGCCGGAGTTGGAAGTTCCGGGGCGATCTTTAGCTCCTGGGCTCTCCAGTCGCCAGCACTTAGTTCTCAGCAACGCCCCCAGAATCTTAAATATTGACTTCCTGCTGGTGTGTTCGGTAGGATTTCCTGGTGGAGGAGTGTCCCTCCTTGGGTTCTAAGTGCATCTAATGTCCCAAGCAGGTCGGACATGTTTTGTGGTTCAGAGAAGCGGGACAGCCTGGGATCTCTCATAAGTCACTGAGCAGGCACTACTGACTTCCGGGCGTCCCTGCCCACCAGGGCCTTGGGCACCTTTGGGAAGTTGTACTTAGCTTTTAAATTTTGTGCATCATTAAGGAGACTTTACCGAGAAGGCACCACACGGTAGATATTTTGGTTTGTAATTTTAAAAAGAAGTCGTAGTTGTCGGCCTTAAAAGATCTTGCTGGGGGACTTCCAGCTCTTGAAAGACAGGTTTGTGAAACTTGAGTGTTAGGGAGAAACACTGGGTTTGGTTTGGCTTCCTTTGGGCAGGAAATGGTCTGAATTAATGTTGAGTCTTTGGCCTTTCTAGGTTGCGTACCTCCTTCCCTAAGAATTCTTCCCACATAGAGATGACTGTACATAATCTACCTTAGAAGGATGTTTTGAGGATTAGCTGAGCAGTAATAGGACATCTTTAGGTCAAATGACCAGGGGGGTTTAGGAATTAGCGCAGATGACCTTACCGTGTGGCGTACAGGGTTACCTACAAAGAAAGTGAGGAAATGTATCCCAAAGATATGATAGCTAAATAAACACAAAAATAAGAGTTAGAGACTTTCCAGGAGTCTAGGGGAAAGTAGGTCAAATTATATTCCTGTTATCCTTGACAGTTACTTTTACACTGCACAGAATCCTGACGACATGAGGGCAGCCAGGCAGTCTGTGAGGAGGACTGCCCAGGGTTTCTGTGTAAATAGATCTGGAGTGTTCATCTGCATAGAGGCTAGAATTTCCCCCTGTTTGGGATGATGTTGTGGTGTACCTTGCCAAAATACATATTTCCTCTTATTAATTATTCTGAATGTGGTTACTTCAAATAAGGTATACTTTATTAGCCCTTATTTGGTTCTAATATTGTATTAGTACTCCTTGTGACATTCCAAATACATTTCATAAGTGCATGGCCAGGTTTTTTTTTTTTTTAACTGGGGGAAGATTGTCAAGTTTTCCAACATTGGAAACCCATAATTTTCAACTGTTTTCCCTCCTTTGGCTCTGGAACCACCTTTGTGATTATGGAACCTTCCCATCAAAGGAGTTGGAAAGGGTTTGAAAAAGAAAAATAGGTGAAATGTGTATTAGTTTGTTCAGGCTACCATAAAAAAATACCATAGACTGGAGACTTACATAACAGAAACATACTTTCTCACAGTTTTGGAGGCTGAGAAGTGCAAGATCAAGGTGCCAGCATATTTAGTTTCTGGTGAGAACACCTCCTGGCCGGTAGACAGCCACCTTCCCGCTATGTCCTGATGTGACCATTCCTTGGTGCCTCTCTCTCTTTTTTTAAACTGAAATATAGTTGATATACAATATGATGTTAGTTTCAGGCGTACCACATACTGATTGGTATTTGCATACATTAGACAATGATGTGATGATGTAAGTCTGGTTACCATCTGTTCCCACACAAAGTTATTACAGTGTTATTTGACCATATTCCGTATGCTGTATATGACATCCTCATGGCTTATTTATTTTACAACTGGAGGCTTATACCTCATACTCTTGTTCACCTGTTTTGTGCCACCCCCCATCACTTGTTTATTCTCTGTATCTTTGCTTTCATTTTGTTTTGGTGTTTAGATTCCATATGTACGTGAGATCATCCAGTATGTTTTTCTCCAACTTATTTCACTTAACAATACCCTCTAGATCCATCCATGTTGTCACCAATGGTAAGAATTCATTTTTTTTTTTAATGGCTGAGTAATCTTTCATTATATGTATATACCCCATCTTATTTATCCATTCATCCATTAGTGGACACTTCACTTACTTCCATATCTTGGCTATTGTAAATAGCATGGCAGAGAACATGGGGGTGCATATATCTTTTCCAATTAGGGCTTTTGTTTACTTTGGATAAGTACCCACATGTGAGATTCCTGGATCATATGGTAGTTCCATTTTTAATTTTTTGAGGGATCTCCATCCTGTTTTCCATAGTGACTATGCCAGTTATAACCGTAACCAATGGTATGGGAGGATTCCCTTTTCTGTGTATCCTCACCAGCACTTGTTGTTTGCTGTCTTTTTGATGATAGTCATTCTGACAGGTGTGAGGTGATACCTCATTGTGGTTTTGGATTGCATTTCCCTGATGATTAGTGATGTTGAGCATCTTTTCATATGCCTGTTGGCCATCTGCTTGTCTTCTTTGGAAAAATGTCCCTTCAGGTCCTCTGCCCATTTTTTTTTTAATGGGGTTATTTTTGTTTTTGATGTTGAGTTGTTTGAGTTGTTCGTGTATCTTAGATCGATTCCTTGTTGGGTATATCATTTGCAAATAATTTACATACTCCCATTCAGTAAGCTGCCTTTTCATTTTGTTGATGGATTCTTTCACTGTGAAAAAGCCTTTTAGTTTGATGTAGTCCCTTTTGTTTATTTTTTCTTTTGTTTCCCTTGCCTGAGGAGACAGATCCAAAAAGTATTGCTAGATTGATAGCAGAGTGTACTGCCTATGTTTTCTTCTAGGAGTTTTATGGTTTCGGATCTTATGTGTGTAAGTCCTTATCCATTTTGAGTTTGTTTTTGTATATGGTGTGAGAAAGTGGTCCAGTTTGATTCTTTTGCCTGTAGCTTTCCCAACACAATTTATTGAAGAGGCTGTCTTTCCTCTGTCGTATATTCCTCGTTTGTGTTAGATTAATGCACCATGTAAGCATGGGTTTATTTCTGAGTTCTCGATTCTGTTCTTGTGCCAGTACCACATTGTTTTGATATAGGTACTGGCGTCTGTGTATCAGTTTTTGTACCAGTACCATACTGTTTTGATGACTGTAACTTTGCAATATAAATTGTTTGAAATCAGGGTGTGTGATACCTGGAGCTTTGCTCTCTCTCTTCAAACTGCTTTGACTATTTGGAATCTTTTGTGTTTTCATACAAATTTTAGAATTTTTTTGTTCTGATTCTTCTGTCTCTCTCCTTTTCTTATAAGGCCACTAATTCCATCATGGAGACACCACCCTCATGGCCTGTCTCACCCTTAGTACATCCCTCAGGCCCTCCAAATACCAGCATCTTGGGGCTTATGGCTTCAACATTAATTTGGGGGGAACACAAATGTTCAGTCCATAACAGAAGTATTTGAAGGAAAGAGAAAAACACAAGCAGTGTGTATCAAACCAGTGGGTGACTGGTAAACACCTGGGGTCATGTGGTTAGCCCCTAGGTTAGGGCAGTGATACCAATGCAAGTAAATCATGGCTTAGCTCTTTCTGTGGACCTTCAGTTTTGTATGTCATGAGCTGCGCTTCCAGATTACAGCTGAGTGATTATAGGGACAAGTTAGCACAGATTCACTACTACTGGTAAGAAAGTAGCTTTGTGCATTACACAAGCTGGTAGGAAAGTTTGCAACTTCCATATTGACCAAGATCTGATTTAGGAGTCTGTGCGGCCCTTGCCCATGCTGCCTTGGGCTCTCACAGATCTAAACACTCTGACATCAACTGTCTTCAGATAAGCTCTTTGGGAGCTGTGTTGCCCAACCCAGGTGGCCTGTAGGCTGTCTCTTACTGGGAAAAATGTAAGCTGACGTTTGCTTGTTACTATAGAACTCCTGGTTCCTTGGTTCAGTCACTTATTGTCATATTGAATTCAGAATGCAAGTTGATTAAGGCTCTTTGCACCTCTTTAGGCTAGGTGGAACGACTAGATTTTTCTTAACTACCTCCTAAAAAATCACTGGTAAGATAAGGCACAGATTGAATTTATATCAAAACCATTTAATTTTCTTTTTTAACTTTGTGTTGTGGACATTTTGAGAGAACAATGTAATTACTTCCTACCTTTAGCTATTAACACTTTACCAATTTTGTTTCACTTATTTCTCTTTTCTCCATTTTTCTTTTGTGGGGGACTGGTGTATTTTAAAACAAAATCCTAAATATTATGTCATCTGTCTCATTAGTGTTTCAGTTTACATATCTGATAAGGACTTTGTTCCTTAAAAAAAAAAAGTTGTGTGCCTTTCTTGCCTAAAATTTTTAATAATAATTCCTTAACATAATTCCCATATTTAATTTTTCTCAGAGATGTCTTTTCACTTATAATTGGTTGCAACCAGAAATTAAGGTCCACACATTGTGTTTGGTTGTTAGGTTTTCAAATCTATTTTATTTTATAACCATCTCCTCCCCCTGCTTCGTTTTTCATGCCTTTGATGCAATGGAGATAGCAGGTCATTTGTCAAGTAGAATGTCCACTTCTGGGGTCACTTCTTACTTGCGATGTTGTCTAGTTTGTTCATTTAGTTTCCATGTTTCCTGT